CTATTATTATAGTAATATTACAATCAAAAAAGGAGAGATAAGACGGAGATACATACGCGTGTTTACTATGCTTCTTGGGTTATGTTGGCCTGTCAGCTGTGAAATTTGCACGCGAAACGAGGTGAGCGAAAATACCGACAATGTAGATATTAGCTGTACCAATTCTCGCTCAGCTAAATTAATAAAGAATATTGACAAAAAAAATAATAATTAATGTACAGATACATTAATAAACATATTTTGAATAAGATAAAACATTAACATTAACGATATGATTTATTTTAAAGCACAGTAAAATAAAATAAAATTGCTCATATCTTAGCCTAGTTCTTAAGATGCCCGTAGTTATAACTCGTGTGGCAAAAGTTAATTGCGAATTGATTTTTTTTCTAAAATTGTAGAACTTAATTTAAGTATATAAATATTGGGTGTACATCTCGAAATGTTTATTTATGAGCCTATATTTTTTTTTCTTCATTTTACTCACTTTGAAAATTAATATAATTGATTGATTATAAAAGTGAGCGAATATAGGTACATGAGCGAATATACCCCCATTGACCTTACTGGTACACGTTTAGACAATAAAATTTTTTTAGTAATTTTCTTTGTTGCATTCAAATAATACTGGTAACTGTATATTGACTCGAACCTATTCATAGTATATATCAATGTAAAGAAGAAAATTTTTTCAAGAGATCAAAAAAAGTTCGTATTTATACTATTAAAATAGACGAAGATAGATGCATTTGAAAATTGACAAAATTTTGACGAAAATATTTTTTGCGATAATTTTGTTGCACAGTGTAATTCTTCAAATAACTCAGGAAAATGTTTCTATATAAGGGTCCGTTATTCTTTAATAAACCTTGACATATATTATTTTCCAAATGTCTAAGGAGTCAATTCTTCAAATGACTCAGAGATTTTTCATTTTTCAAATCTCAGAGACTTATTATTCTCTTGATAGATGTATTATTTTCCCAATAAATCAGAGGTTATTTCAGACTTTATGTACACCCCAGACCCTCAGATTAAGCCATATTGGTACTTTTGGGAGACAGATATATTACTCTAAGAAGATGAATAAAAGTTTAAAATGGTAGTTGGTGGCCGGCGGCACCTTTTGTCTTACCACGTTGCACTTTCGAATCGAGGTCGATGGTCAATTAACAATATTTGCAGAAATTATAAATCGTCCTACACAAGTGCAGTGTTACAAGGAGAAAAAATATATGCGACTTGAAGAGGACCTGTAGTAAGCGAAAATCGCTGGAACGTTTGCCCAGCTCAATCTATATATTACGCGTTGTATGAGTCTCGCGCTAAAAGTTCTGGCCTCCCCAAAAAATCTGGAAAACCGTTGACTAAAAAAAAAAAAAATAAATTTATTATATATTTACAAGGTATATACAGAGTGCGGCAAAAGTATGGAGACACCTGAAGATTTCGCATAATAAGCGTAGAAAACCAACATCATTCATAACCATAACATCGTCAGCTCATAACCAATGTATTTTTCGACGAAGAATCCAATGGTGACCTAGAATTTGACCTTGAACATAACCGTCAAGCTCCAGCGACCCAAAAATCAATTTTTCAAATGGAACCCCCATTTTTTATTGCAGATTTGAAAAGAGCACAAAATTTCACGTCAAAATGAATTTTGTTTTTTTTTTCAAGGTCATATTAAGGGCGTTACAGACGCAAATAAAACTCCAATTTAACCTAAAATGAAGTTCAAGTCAGGGCTTTTTTACTCATTGTACTGCCTCCTAAATGACCTTAAAAAAAAAAACAAAATACATAGTCGAACATGAAATTTTTCGCTCTTTTCAAATCTGTCAAAAAATGGGGGGCACCGTGCGAATAATCGATTTTTGGTTTACCGTAGCTCATAGGTTATGTTCAACGTCAAATTGAAGGTCATCATTGAAAAGAGCGGAAAATTTTACGTGGAAATATGTATTTTATTATTTTTTTTAAGGTCATTTTGGAGGCAGTACAATTAGAAAAAAAGCCCTTACTTGAACTTAATTTTAGGTTAAATAAAGGGTTTATTTGCGTCTATAACGCCTTTAAAATGACCTTAAAAAAAACAAAATACATGCTTCAACGTAAAATTTTGTGCTCTTTTCAAATCTTCAATAAAAAATGGGGGTTCCGTTTGAAAAATCAATTTTTGGGTCGCTGGAACTTGAAGGTCATGTTCAAGGTCAAATTCAAGGTCACCATTGGATTTCCCGTGAAAAAATACGTAGGATATGAGGTTTTTGAATTCTTTCTACGCTTATTATGCAAAGTTTTCAGGTGTCTCCATACTTTTGTCGCACCCTGTATACAGGGTGTCCCAAAAGTGTGGAAACCTCTGAAAAACGGGCAAAATAAGCGGGAAAAAAATTGGATAACCCTATATTCGACGTATTTTTTCACGGGGAATCCAATGGTGACCTCGGATTTGACCTTGAACAGTACCTCCAAGCTGCAACGACTTAAAAATCAATTTTTCAAATGTAACCCCCATTTTTTATTGCAGATTTGAAAAGAACGGAAGATTTCACGTCAAAATATGTTTTGTTTTTTTTTTGTTAAAGACCATTTTATGGGCGCTACGGGCTCAAATAAATCCCCGATTTAAACTAAAATTGAGCTCAGAAGAACTTCATTTTCTAACTGTACCGCCCCCAAAAATTATATTGGAAAAAAAACATAAAGGCCTATTCAAACGTAAAATTTTTTGCTCTTTTCGATGGTGACCTTAAATTTAACCCAGAACATAACCTAAAAGCTGCAGCAACTCAAAATCGAGTTTTTACACGGCGACCCCAATTTTTTATTTAAGATTTGAAAAGAGCGAAAAATTTTACGTTTGAATAGGCCTTTATGTTTTTTTTCCAATATAATTTTTGGGGGCGGTACAGTTAGAAAATGAAGTTCTTCTGAGCTCAATATTAGTTTAAATCGGGGATTTATTTGAGCCCGTAGCGCCCTTAAAATGGTCTTTAACAAAAAAAAACAAAACATATTTTGACGTGAAATTTTCCGCTCTTTTCAAATCTGCAATAAAAAATGGGGGTTACAATTGAAAAATTGATTTTTGAGTCGTTGCAGCTTGGAGGTTATGTTCAAGGTCAAATCCGAGGTTACCATTGGATTCCCCGTGAAAAAATACGTCGAATATAGGGTTATCCAATTTTTTTCCCGCTTATTTTGGCCGTTTTTCAGAGGTTTCCACACTTTTGGGATACCCTGTACATCAAATACCTTGTATTTACAAGGTATATATATAATAAAAACCTTGTATTTACAAGGTATATATATAATAAATACCTTGTATTTACAATGTATATAAATAATAAATATCTTGTATTTACAAGGTACATTGTACATTGTACAGGGTATATACATTATATATATATCTGGTACATGCCTTGTAAATACAAGGTACATAATTCTATATACCTGGTATATACCTTGTGGAAACCTTTTATATATTTCTTGCTTTCTCAAAAATTCTTACAAACCCTGACTATACCGAGCGAGCGTGAGCGAGCGAGGTAATTCGCTAGTAACTCATAATCCGGCGATCATTGCCACAGACTCCAGCGTCGTTTTAGCCGTTCGCAAGTAAGGACTTGAGTTGATCTACGGCCGAGTGACATTATTTCGTCTAATCGCGAAATTGGTAACTCGCTGTAAAAGTACCTTAAATAACTTAAATTATCTCAGCTTTCTAATGGTAAGGTCAAATTTTCCCAAAATTTTCATGACTTCTCAAAAAAACCACTAGGAAACCTTCAAAGTCAGATATCTCACATTGGCATATTTGCATAGCTGGCCGCTTTGGTATGTGCGAAAACTACATTTTTGCTTCCATCTCTCGATATAGCTCATGAACATTTTTGATATCCACCATGTTGAATTTCAATATTATAACTATTGGACTTTTATGTCTACATTCCATTGACGCAAAAGATATTCTTTAGACGTAAAGATCTAGTCTCTTTCGATAAAAAAATTTTGGTCAAATCAAAATGTTTTCCAACAATTCGTGTTTGTTCAATTGTTCACAACTTTTACTGATGAACTTTTTGAACAATTCTGACACCAGATTTAAAAAGTTCATACAATTTTACGTAGAAAGCGACTATTCAAACATTTCTCATATACTTTTTTCGCAAAGTTTACAACGCAGGAAAAAATGTGTAAAATTTTATCCGTTTGGTCCCAAACGGGTTAAATATATTCAGGTACTTTGACAGCAAGTTATAAATGTAGCAGTTATACCAAATAATGTCGCGCAGCCGTAGGTCAACTGACTTGGAGTCTCTGACAATCATCGCTGGACGGTGAGCAATTGAACCGGGCAATCGTTTTAGTGATTCTCCCATACTACAGGTCCTCCCTCAGTCTCGTAGATTTTCTCTCCGCGTATATTGAAAAGAAATCGTAGGACTCTCACCGCGAAGTAAAAAAAGGGTTGAACCGATAATCACTAGAGCGTCTGTAATAATTTGTAAACTACACGAGAGTAAGATTAAATTTTGAGAAAAATCTTAATTTACCTTCATTAAAAGAAGAAAGCGGTATTTGAAAAGGAGGGTTGAGGGGGGTCGGGTCTATTTTCGTTGAAATCCAGCCAAGAAAAATGTTGAACCTTATCTATTTATAAATGGCTCACATCAAGTCTTTATAAACATAGTAATATATACCTTTAAAGTGACAAATATTCATATTTGAAGGCTACATCATATACAGTCAGTGTATTATTACAATGACTTATAAGAATGCGTGATATTAAACGTACTTGAGATTTGTCCACGTCGGTCACTTTTTGCCGACGATCTTGCAAAGTCAATTGTTTTCTTTCCATGATTACTGGGATTGAATTTCTTTCGTAGTAATATAGAAATAATAATGGCTAATATTATTATATAAAATTTTGTTGATTCGTACACCTTTTATTATTTGTATTGATGAACTATTTTCTTCTTTTGTAGACTGAAAACAATGCAGCTCTGGTTCTAACGACAACTTCTGCTCATGCCAATAGTGCTTTGCCAAATGTCAGTTGTGAAGAATGGAGCTATGATGATGACAATAACAGAAATCATATTCAAGTTTCTCATAATGATTCTAATGCTACTATACCTTCAGAAAATTATGAGAATGAAAGTTTTACTACTAAAAACGATAAAAAAAATTCCATGAAAAATATAAATGGTCATAAAAATGGCAATATAAATAACAATAAATCAAAGATTGAATCTTCGACTTATCACAGAGTTTTGAGAAGTCAACAGAATCAAGATGCATCTAAATTAAAAGCAGACAATCACGTATTAGATGTAAAAAATGATGATAAAATCATTACAAATGTACAACTTCCAAATGCTTCCATTACTCGTAAATTACGAAGTAGAAACAATTCAGAAGTGCCTGATAAAAATTCAAAAAAATCTAAAAATGGACCAAAAACTCGAAAAAGTCCCAGAAATAATTACAACCCAGATGAAGATTCATACACAGAACCAGTTAACAAATTGAAAGTTGACGACCCAAAAGAAAATATTTTAATACCCGAAGACAACAAAATACAAATGCCCACTAATATTTTAAATAAAGTTCTTACAGCTATAACTAATCAACCTGGCATTGATGTTACTGTTAAAGAAACAAAAAATCGTAATTTTGATACTGAAGATATTAGTTTTACTGTTGAATTATCGAAAAAAAAAGAAAGTGATTCTATGACTGTTTTAGCTAAAGTATTTCCTGATCTAGGATCTTGCCTAGTTGACGAATCAATAGTTACATTTCTTAAGGAAGAAATCAATGAGATTGACGATGAACTTCTGAATAATATCGTTACCTCTAATAGTTTGGATAAAACTAGTAACAAATCGATTGAAAAATTGAAAATTCCAGACGGCCCTGTCAATAATTTACAAGAACCAGAAAATTTATTTACATTAGATGGAGAAGAAATTCATGTTGATGATAATGTTGAACAAATCTTTATTAATAACCAGGTTAACTACTCTTGTAAATTATGTAAAAAAGTATATGAGCGTAAAGATAAATGCAATGTTCATGTAAAAACCCATCTAGGCATCAAGCAATACATGTGTATTCTATGTAAAGCTAAATTTGTATGCAAATCCGATGTTATGAAACATATCCGCTGTTCACATACTAATCCTCGACCAATCTTATGTTCAAAATGTCCGAAGCGTTTTAGATCAAAATTTGATCTAACTGAACATATGAATGTACACAAAGGCATTCGACCATATCAATGCGCCGATTGCGATCAAAGCTACCATCACAAAGTGTCCTTGCAAATGCATATTAAATCACATTTACCTCCCCAGAATTTAGCTTGTGAATTCTGTGGAAAAATTTTCCCTTATCGTACTCGATTACTCAGTCATGTTGGTAGTGTTCATATGAAAGATAAGCGAAATTTTCGTTGTCGATTTTGCTATAATTTATACTCTAGTTTATCAGTTCTAAATGAACATATCAAAGTGCGTCACGCTACAACCTATACTTGTGATACTTGTGGAAAAACTTTCAAGGTAGCCTCCAAATTTAAAGCTCATATAATGCAACATAGCAATCCGAAACCTTTTGTTTGTGAGATCTGCCAAAATAGATACGCATCCAAAGCATTTTTGAATGAACATTTACTGAAACACCAAGGTGTCCGTAAACATGTTTGTGAAAAATGCGGAGCTTCCTTCGCTCAAGCAAGTCACTTGGCAGCCCATCGTCATGTTCACGAAGAAAAAAGTCATGCATGTCCAGAATGTGGAAAAATGTTCAATCGGAGAGATAATATGAAAGTACATCGTAGAAGACATATGATTCAAGTAGAAAAAAAAATAATCACCAAGCAAAAAAGCACTCTAAATCCTGAAAATCAAATGATTGATAGAGAAAATTAAAATTTTTGATGTAATAAAATTATTGATGATTTTTGTACTACGAATGATACTTTGTCTAATAATAACAGTATTCTCGGTAAATAATTAATTTAAGTTATTCATAGATAAATTTTTTCTCCATACTTGTATAAGCTTTTTCGTAACTACCAGCTGGTCGTAAAAACATCTAAACTCAGTAACATTTGTGCTCAATGATAAAAAAGTTAAGGCATCGTGAAAAAAAATTGAATGATATTTTATTGATTATATGTTAATTATTGTACTGTTGAAAGAGCGCGAGAAAGCCATTTAACTTAACCAAGTAGAAATAAGTTCTTTACGCGAATAAACGAAAAACACATTGATTTTCATCAAATCACACATTTGTAATCATGTACTAAAATTCAAAAACGTAGTTTTAAATGCAACATGATATTATTTTAGTAAAATTTATTATTCAATACATCTATTATCACTGTACACCAGCGAGCATAGATACTCGGACTTCGAAAATGTGCGATTGATTAGTCGCTTCCTTCGCATTTTTTAAACAACAGCGCGTGACTACGGTTTCACGACCTGCATTGCAGTGTGAAGGAAGCGACTAATCGATTGCACATTTTCGAAGTCCGAGTATCCTTTCTCGCTGGTGTAAATCTATTGATTAATTAACGCCTAAAAACGATGCTTCCCAAATGCTTTTAAGCTTAAAAAAAAGTTTTAGTTTAAGAGTTATTTATTATTGAGCAGCATTAGAAAAAATTCTCAATGAAATGATTTAAGTAATAAAATTGTTTTGTAACATTAGCAATTATCTTTTAACAAACAATCCTAAAACCCCTATCAGTAAATGTTAAATAAAAAACATAATAGAATGAATATCTGCCCTGACTGTCGAAAATATTATTGGCTCTTGATTATTTAATCTTTTAATAAAAAAATTTTATACTTGTAAATGAAAGGTCGAAAGACTCACATAAAAGTTAGTGAAGTTCATAGAGATTATGCGTTTTTTTTAAATTCATAACCAATGGAATCTCCAATCAGAAAATAGTGATTCGTAACCACATTTATAAAATATTTGTAATTTTTACAACATAATTTGAGAAGTGATAAGCTTTTAGAACAATTTCAAAATTTTTGTTGCCGCGGCTGGCTATAGATGCAACGTAATGACGTGCAAGCGAAAGTAGGTAGATGATATGCGAACCAAAGGAAAAATCAAAATGTTTACGCACCTTTTATTAACACTAACAAGTTCATTTAACGATAAATCTTGATTGTCTTGTAGTTATTATTCTTGTGCGCTCAAAAGCGGCGACTATAATTATAATAATAATTATAACAATAATTATATCGGATGTTGAGTCGATTTCAACTTGAAAAAACCAACAGAATTTTACAAATTTGTAAAAACTTTTATTCGCGTCAGAATTTTTCCCTTTCATTCAAGTTTGTAGAAAAAAATCTTAATTTCCGTAAGGCTAAAATCTAAGTTTATTTTTGAGCAGTTTTTTCATATATGTACAATAGGGCGGAGCGAAAAAACCCTTTTGTCGCCGATCGCTTTCTAATAGCAATAGAACGTTAGTATAACTCAAAAAAAGAGAAAAGCCACGAGGTAGGCGCATACAAATGATATCTTCAGTTAGCGCATGAAGCTCGAAGTTTGAATTTCGTAAAAACAATATAATCATGCAACAAAGCATAAAATTACCTTTAATTTGGTGTGTGTAAAAAGTTTCTAAGTCCTCTAGAACCGAAGATACAGCTGTTTGAAGTTTTACTGAAAATTCAAGATTAAATTCTGTGATGATCTTACCATATCCGGTCTATGATAAATTCACAGATTTAGTACTTCAATATTCAGTAAAACTTCAAACAGCTGTATCTTCGGTTCTAGAGGACTTAGAAACTTTTTACATACACCAAATTAAAGGTAATTTTATGCTCTTTAAGGAGATGTAGAAGCCAGCCAAAATATCAAAATTTCAATCCAGTTTTCTGAAACGTCTACTGAATATTTCTCGAAAAAGCTCTATGGTGACCTTCATTTTGATGTTTTTAAGGTCGCCATAGAGCCTTTTGGCAAAATAATCAGTAGAAATTTCAAAAAACTGGATTGAAATTTTGATATTTTGGCTAGCTTCTATATCCCCCTAAGAGCATATAACTATCATTGGGGTTCAAGTTTGTCTAGCATGTGTAACTCTTAACAAACCGAAAAAATAATAACAAATGTAATTTCGATCGTGACACAAAAGTTTAGACCTTTTATATTGTAACTTCTGTAAAAATTTAAAAACCCCTATACAAACTTATACGGTTGGAAACGTCTTTAAAAGACGAAAAAATTGGTTACTCTTTCGTTTCAATAGCAGCAAAATTACGCAACCTACAGGTGTACAAAGATAGAAATAGTACAAAAAAAAATTAATGTAACGTTGTTTTTCAACCTTCCTATGACTATATCTTTGTTTCTGAGGCACCTAGAGGGCTGAAATTTTACAGAGAAACTCGTGTTCACATGTAAAACAAGCCCTGAAACTTTCAGCCCGATAGGTCTATTCGAAGCCGAGAGATTTTGCTGTGATTCATTTCTGAAGCATGATTATATTGTTTTTACGAAATTCAAACTTCGAGCTTCATGCGCTAACTGAAGATATCATTTCTATGCGCCTACCTCGTGGCTTTTCTCTTTTTTTGAGTTATACTAGCGTTCTATTGCTATTAGAAAGCGATCGGCGACAAAAAGGTTTTTTCGCTCCGCCCTAATGTACAACTTTTGTGCGGGGGGTTCTTGGATCTGCCCCAAAATTTAGTATGCTATTTGGGTATGTGAAAATAGGCTTCAAGTAAATTTTTAACCCTCTAGGGGCCTTAGGGCCCAATTTTGGGCCCCTCGAAGGTCCAAAAATAGCCATTTTTACCTATTTTTGAGTATTATTCAAATATTTGTAACTCAGTTACAACCGGAGCATATTTTTTAACCCTGAGGGTCGCTTTTTTTAGGTCAAGGTATGTACTTTTCATAAAAAAATTATGCAGAGCTCGATAATCCAACCCCCGGTTATGGGATGGCAATAAAGAGGGATGAAAAATCGTGAAATTGTCGTTTTTTAGCTTTTTTTGAATTATTGTAGAAGGCGATCGGATTGACGTATTGACTTTTGCAAAGTCTCATTTTAAAGGTATTTTCGCGCCACAGTTTGAAAATGAAGGCTCCATTTAAACTAATATTAAACTCAGCGAAATAGTTTATTCTCGATCTGTGGCGCCCTTAAAATTACCTTGAAAAAAAAACAAAATATGCATTTGGACGTAAAATTTTCCGCTCTTTTCAAATCTGAAATAAAAAAGGGGGGTCACCGTGCAAAAAATCAATTTTGGTTCGCTATAACTTAGAGGTTACGTTCAAGGTCAAATTCAAGGTTACCATTGGATTTCTCGTTGAAAAATACGTTGGATATATGGTTATTGATTTTTTTTTATTTTTATTTTGCGATAATTTCAGGAGTTGCCAAATAGTTTTGCCGCCCAATTTAAAATGTATTTTGCCTACATAAGGGCTAAAATGTCGGAGTTCCGGAGCCTCGTTTTTGTTTATAGAGGCAAATACCAAGATCCTTACCTACATGGCTTCAAACTACATGTAATCATCTACTTTCATATAAAATTTTAAAGAGATTTATGTTACTAGAAAAAAGTTACAGCTTATCGAAATCTCAAAAAAACGCCTATTTTCATAATGTTGACACCTTTAAACAGCTCTATCTCCGTCGTTTTTTAACCAATCTTAAATCTGCGCACAGTAATTTAAAGGTAATGAAAATACCTTTAAAATGAGACTTTGCAAAAGTCAATACATCAATCCCATCGCTTTCTACATTAATTCAAAACAAGCTAAAAAACTAAAATTTCGCGATTTTTCATCCCCCTTCATTGCCCTCCCATAACCAGGGGTGGGATTAACGAGCTCTACATAATTTCTTAATAAAAAGTACATACCTTGACCTAAAAAATGCGACCCTCAGGGTTAAAGAATATGCTCCGGTGCCTGAGTTACAAATATTTGAATAATACGCAAAAATAGGTAAAAACGGCTATTTTTGGACCTTCGAGTGGCCCAAAATTGGGCCCTAAGGCCCCTGGAGGGCTAAAAATTTACCTGAAGCCTATTTTCACATACCCAAATAACATACTAAATTTTGGAGCAGATCCCAGAACCCCCCGCACGAAAGTTGTACATATATTGCGACGGACAGCCTACCCCGGGTGGGTAATTCAGCTCGACTGCCGTGCACTTTATTTATGGGGGCCCGCTTTACCTGACTCGAGTCCCAGAGGGGATATTGGGCCCGTCACCAGCACGGGCGAGCCGTGAGCCGGTTCACTCACCTTCCTTCGCCTAGGCTTCTGATACCTGAAATTCTCGAATAGGTCAAGCGAAATGAATTGACACGCGTTCCTTTACGATTAATTGATTTATCTTTATTTAAGGCCCACGAGAGCAAACGATAACAAATATTACGCGAATTACAACCTTCGGCTTACGATACGGCCCCGTAGCCGTTTACGCACGCGTTGGGCACTTTCCGATCGCCCACGAGGGCCGAGACTTGCTCGCACGTTACTATCGGCCCAGTGTCGTCGCTACGACACTCGCGTGGCCTCACTTACACTAACACACTTGCTCACACACACACACACACGGGCGGCCCTGCAGCCGCGCCGACCAACGACTTAAAAATACCTTACAATTACCCCAAGTTCTTCGGCGCCTCGCTGCTGCACTGATGACCTATCGTCGATGCTCTGGGTATAGTCTTCTTGGCCCAACTACTATTGCTGCCCGCGTCCAAGCTTCGTCGTATCTCCACGTGTGTTGTCTTCGTTCAAACTTCTCGTCCTCCTTCGGACTCTGCGCACCTCACTCGTGCGATTCTGTCTCCCCGATCGGACAAGTCTGCTCCGACGTGTCTTGCCCACCTGGGCTCCGATCTGACTCGTGTATGCAATTCCCCACGGGCACTACACGGGCACTTGCTCACCCGCGTCACAACGACAACTTCAGCAATCACTTCGGCAACTTCGGCTTCACGCAC